ACTCTCATTTCAGCAATAAGCTATCTACATGCTTCCTTTGACAAGCCCTAAGAGAGAGGACAGGACTGAAGCAGGTAAGGAAGAAAAGAGAAGTTATAACTACTACCAAAAGGGGGGTTGCAAGGAACTCTGATGCAGACACCAGCTTATAGTGCCTGCAGCATCATGGATGGAATGTGAGACAAATTCACACGGACTACCGAGTCCTGTGGAGGAAAAGGGATGGCATGGCTACTCCCTCAAGGGGGGAGCACCGCAGAGCGGGCTGGCCACTCTCTCAAGGAGAGGCCACGCTGACCCTTGCCTGGACAGGCTTTTATTGGGTTCAGTTAGCACAGGAATACAGGTAAAGTTCATTAATTATTGTCAGGAAGTAAGGATCAAACAGTAGATAGCATACAAAGAACTCTGAGGGCCTATTCTGAGTCAGGGTCTGTTAGCTAAAGGGCTACAAAACTTTGGGAAACAAACTCATTTCCTGCTTGGACCCTTATCATTGAATTGAGAGCATTCTTAAGGCAGGTTTCACAGGATTTTACCTACTCTTTCTTAGGCCTGATCACCTGAGGAGCCCACCCTTTTCCAGCACAGAGCTGCACTGCTCTCTGTCATTGTTTCAGGCTTAAATCAGGCAGGGAAGGCAGCCAAGAGATTAAGAGACTTCTCACAGACAGAAGGAGGACTCAGGCTTTGTCAAAGCTAAGGAGCAAGGGTCCATCACCCCCTTTCTCCATAGCCCCCCAAGTCCTTCCCTGGGGCCTCCACATGATCATGCCTGTCTTCGGTCATTCCCGCCTTGGGGAATCTTACCCGTCATTGGCTAACCAGCCAAGCCCTGGAGGCCAGTTATGGATGAAGGAGCAGAAATGGCGCTCCTACCAGGGAGATAAGCTTTGTCTCCCTAGTGGCTTATGATCCAAAGGTCGCTCACTCAGCCTTAGCCATGGGGGGTTACAGCCCCGCGAAACCAGGCAGGGCAGTTCCCAACGGAACTCCAAGAGGCAAGAGATGTGGGCCTCAGTGGTGAGAAAGCAAGACTATGGTAGGGTGTCAGTGATGCAAAAAGATGGCTGGAGAGAAATCAGTTAAATACTAGGTATGACCCATTCAAAATATCACGTTTTTTGAGAATTCTAATTGGATAAGGGAGATATGGAATGGCCTTGAACGCTGTTTCTGAAACTGAGTGGATATGGGCAGTCACCGAAGTTAGCTGTTAGCAGGTACATGTTCAGGCCCTATTTTTGCCACTTTCTAATTGGATAAGCTTCAGGTGTCAGCTTTCCCAGCCATAAAATAGGGTTGGTAATACCTATATCTCTTGGTTATTGTGGGGAGCAAATGAGATGATGGCCATGAGAAGGAAATTTTTGTTAATAGTTAAATGTTAAAGCTTCAAGCCCTGGCTGGTGTAGCTCAGTGGATTGAGCACAGGCCTGTGAACCAGAGGATCACGGTTCGATTCCCAGTCAGGGCACATGCCCGGGTTGCAGGCAGGTTCCCTGCAGGCCAGTTCCCTGCAGGGGATGCACTAGAGACAACCATACGTTGATGTTTCTCTCCCTCTCTCCTTCCCCTCTAAAGATAAATAAATAAAATCTAAAAAAAAAATTATAAAAAAAATTGAAAAGTAACTAAATAAAATTTAATATTAAAAAAAAATGTTAAAGCTTCAGCCACCACTTAATAATCATTAATAATGAAACTTTCAACCGAAGTAGAAAGCAAAACTTTCCAATTTCTTTCATGAGTGAACCATACCATGCCACCTATGTACTAAGGCTTTAAAAATTGTTATTTACTTATTCTATTGCCTATTTGAAGATTAATAATGCACCATATCAAACATTTGGTTTGTGCACATGTGTTTATGTGTGTCAGCCTGTCTGTTCATCCACCTAACAACATTCTTTGCAAACCTTTTAAGAATTAAGGGGTGGACCATTAATTCTTAAGAAATCTGAAAAGAATGGAATTAAGACCCAGGGGCCAGGATAAAATTAGAATACTGTGGCCAAACAATTCTTAGAATAGAACACTGAGTTGACCCTAATATTATGCATGTCTGTGGCCCAGGTGAGTTCTGTGGGTTTATGCAGAATTTTCACAGCCTGATCAAATAGCCATGTATTGTTTCCATGCTACAGTCATTTTGGCAACATTTACTGAACTAGTCTTTTCCATAATTAGACTGGTCGATGCAACGAAGCCAGGAGAAAGTCAGGGCTATAACAGCAGTTTTAGGGAAAAAAATCCCAAGAAATGAATATGAATGAGCATTTGTTCTTGGATCAAAACTGAGAAAAGCTGAGGGAGCTCGGCAAAGACATTTTCTCGGTTGAGCATCTTTCCAGTTGGCAGCTTACCTTATCTGCAGGGTCCTTGCTCTCCTCCCAACTGTCACACGTTGGGTGCAAGTAGAAACTCTCAGTGGAACATATTGCTTAATATCGGAGGTTAGATTTGAAAAATTTTGTTCAGCTGTTTTCACTCAAATATTCTACTCTCACACTGAAATAAATATATTCTGAAATTCCATTCTGTAACTATAGAAACCCAGATTCTCACTGGGTTTTGGCTGAAAGCACAAAAGAGCTCACAGTTAATTATTAATCTAAGAATAGCTTAGATCTCAGAAATCATTGTTTCTGTAAATTTAGGTTTTTTCTATCTTTCCCCATTTTTGAAATAAGAGCTTGCCATATTTAAGCAAAATATCATGTTCAGACATTGCAGTGAACATTATTTTTGTTGAATAGCTTGCCTAGAACACACTGTGGAGTAGTATGTGGGCTTGCCCTCAAGGGTCGTGGAGCCTTGCGTGTGCGATGAAAAATGAACACAAGGAAATGAGAGAGTACGGACCTAGAGATACAACTAAATGCTATTGTGGCCCAAAGGAAAAAATGATCGTGTCTCATTGGGGAGACTCAAAAACAAATTAAGGAAATATTTAAATTTCTATCTTTTTCTCTTTGTCAATGCCAACCTTCAAACAAGGCACAAGTCCTAGAACTTTCATTTTACTAGTATTTCTCAAGCCCTTCTCTCTCCTCCACCTCATTACCATATCTTGCCTAGATTATGGCAATATCTTCTAAATGGGCCTCCCGCTTCCAGCTGTCCCTTCTCTCTTCCAGTCTTTCTCCTTCCTCAGGATCATTTACTTGAAATGCTGATGTAACCCTGACCAGTGGGGCTCAGTTGGTTGAATGTTGTCCTGTGAACAAAAAAGCTGTAGGTTTGATTACTGGTCGGGTTATAACAGGGTGCAGCCAAGAGGGGGGCCCCAAATAGGGATTTCTAATGGGGTCCAGAAGAGCTTGGAGATGATTGGCTCCACACCACAGGGCCACAGCTGCCCAGAATGCTGGCAGCTGTGGCCAATTGTGGGAGGAGCCGGAAATGAGGCTGCAGAGGGACCACGTGGCTTTGGCGTCTTGAAAGAGGGACCATGCAGCTTTGGAAGTGCTCGCTTTTGCCACATGGATGCTGCCCGGAGCCTGAATCACAGACTTCTACTTCCTTGCTGATCCATGGTACCCCAGACTGGGCAGAGGGAGAAGGAAGGACTGTGTGCATTTGTGGGTATTCTAAAGAACTTTAGTCTGTATAACTTTTAAGTAAATAACAATTCCTTTCCCATTCATCAATCTCTGGCATTGAGAGACTTTTTCTCTGGAAGCAGGCAAAGCGAACCTAGTACAGGGGAGGAACCCCCAGAGAAAAAAGAGGGTCTTTTATATCACTCAGCCCTGCCCCTCGTCTATTCTGTAACAAGGGCACAAGCCTGCATTGTGGGTTTGGTCCCAGCAGGGTACGTAACAAGAGGCAACCAGTAGATGTGTCTCTTTCACATTGATGTTCCCCTCTCTTGTGTGCTCCTTTCCCCTCTCTCTAGAATCAGTAAGCATGTCCTTAGGTGAGGATAAAAGTAACATGTAAATAAATGAATAAATAGACTGCTAACCTATTCCATTACTTTCCTGTGTTATATCCTCTAATAATTCATGAGGGGTCCCCGAGAAAAAAACCCCAAGTCCTCAGTGTGGATGGATACCTTTTACAAGCACACCCTCCCACCATTCCCATCCTGTGTGTACCGAGTATCAGAATCTTCCTATAGTCTTAAGCTTGCTTATAGCCTCAGTCATAGTGCATGTTGTTTCTCCTGTCTGGGAAATTCTATCTGAACTTTTCCTCTTGACAAGCTTTCTCATCCTTCAAGCCTCATCATTCGACACCTCCTCCAAGAAGACCACCTCAGTGCTTTCCACTTCTCTTCATCCTTCCATGAGATAGACTCCTATGCTCCCACATTGCTATCAACACTCTTATTGTGCAGCATTATCAGTCCTTATATTTATTACAGTCATGCTTTTAAAATGTTTTTTCTTTGTTCCCCAGCTCCCTGCTTGATGCAGGGTAGGGATTCAATAAGTGACGAATAAATGACATGACAGGTAAAATGATGAAACCTGCAGCAGAGTGACAGGAGAAGGACCTTGGGGAAAAGGGAAAATTCACGATTATCGATTGCATGTTTAGTTCTGAGGTGAAGGTAGTAAATTCCCTAGCAAATTCTTAAAGGGAAGGGAAGAAAAAGGAAACAGAAAGAAAAGGAGAGAAGAGATGAGAAGTTCAGAGAATAGGGAAGGAGTTTACTCAGACTCTACTTCAGGTGTTTATCTCTAGAGGCTGTGATTTCTTGAAATAAATTTTGATTAATTCAGGCATTTAAATGACAAATACTGCTTTTTTCTCCCTTTTTGTTCCAAATATTGTTACTGTCAGTGCATGTAACACAGAAATTCCAAGGGATATGTTAGGTTAAAGATATTGTACCAAGGCTTTTTATACTGAACAAGGGAACAGAAAAATTTTAGAATACATTTTATTCGAGCTGTATCATAAGAAGAAGAGATGTTCCTCATTTAATGAGGAACTTAATCATAAATGACTGGTCATGTGATAGAGTCTTTATTTTCAATTTTCTTTAGGGTGGAAAGAAAGGAGCGTGCCCGATTGAAGACAGTGAAGTTCAATGCAAAGCCTGGAGTGATTGATTCAAAAGGGGTATGTACAAAATAATCAAAACATTAAAGATCTCTTGGTTGCCATGGATTTAACTATACATTTAGGTGTTCGGCAGCAAACAAATTATGAAGCTACCAGACAGTAGAGCACTGTTACAAATCTGCTGCTAAAAGTAATGATGCAATTTCTGATGAAGTGGATCTTGGTGGGTATATTAAATCCAGGGGGTAAAGCCGCTAGCGGTCAGCAGAAATCATGTGTTGATGAAGGTGATATAATGACTACAATGAAGGAGAAAAATATATAATTTAGGTGTTTTAAATTTAAATTGTTTTTCCTCTTAAGTTAAAATGTTCTAAAAGGATGGATTTCATAAAAGATACCTACTCATCATAAACTATGTCTAGTCTGTTACACATTATAAAGCTAAGACAGTAGTGATGGAAATATGCATATTCTAAGTGAATACATGGATTGTTGCGACAGACATAAAAGAGAATTTAACAAATGAAATGCAGTCACCAAAATTAAAATATTTACTCATATGCACATGTATCTGTTAATAATAGCTTTAATGATATAATTCACTACCATACAGTTCACCAATTTAATATGCACTCCACAGGTTTTTTTAGTATATTCAGTTATGCAACTACCACCATAGTGTTAGAACATCCCATCACCCCATTGAGATCCTGTAGCTGCTGTCACTTTCTATTTCCTCCAAGCCCACCATGACCCCTACCCAGCCCTGCGCAGCTACTAATCTACTTTGTTGCTAGAGACTTGCATATTCTGGATATTTTATATAGATGGCATTATACACTATGTGGTCTTTTGTGACCTATGTCACTTTACATATGCTCTCAAAGCACACCGATGGTGTAGCATATGTAAGTACTTTGTTTTTTGTTTACTGTCAAATAATATTCCATTGTGGATATACCTCGTTTAATTCATCTATTCATCAGTTGATGGATATTTGGGTTGGTTCCACTTTGGGGCCATTATGAATCAATGTTGCTGTGAGCATTTGTGTACAGTTTTTTTGTATGGATATACACTTATTTCCATTTGGGGTATACTTAGGATTGGAATTGCTAGGTCATATGATAACTCTGTGATTAACATTTAAAGACCTGCCAGACTGTTTTTGGAGGTAGTTGTACAATTTTATATTTCTACTATCAGTGTGTGAGAGTTCCACTTCCTCTACACCTTCCCCAGTACTTGTTATTATATGTCTTTCTGCTTATAGCTATCCTATTTGGTCTGAAGTGTACATCCTTGTGGTTTTGATCTGTATCTCTCTAATAATATTAGTGTTGAGCATCTTTTCATGTGTTGATTGGCCATTTGTATATCTTCTTTGGAGAAATGCCCATTCAGATCATTTGCTCATTTTTAAATTAGGTTATTTTGTTTTTATTGAGTTGTAGAGGTTCCTTACATATTCTGAATTTTAATCTCTTATCAAATATGTATTTTCCAAATATTTTGTACCATTCTATGAGTTATCTTTCTACTCTCTTGAAAATGTTCTCTGCTGCACAAAAGTTTTTAATTTTGAGGGAGTCCAGTTTATGTATTCTTTCTTTCATTCCTAAAGTTGTGTTTTGTGTCGTATTTAAGAAACCATTGCCTAATCCAAGGTTATAAAGATTTATGCTGACATTTTCTTGTAAGAGTTTCATAATTTTAGCTCTTACATTTAGTTATTTGATCCATTGAATTAGTTTTTATATGTAATATGAGGTAGAGTTTCAGTTTCATTATTCTACATGTGAATCATCTCCTTGATTTTGTTTTGGGATTGTTCATTGCAAATATATAGAATAATTATTTTATGTATCAATCTTATATTCTGCTACCTTGCTGAATACATTTATTAGTTCTAATAGTTTTCTTTGGTAGTTTCCTCAGGATTATTTTTTGGGTACAAGATCATGTCATATGTAAAAAGAAAGTTTTATTTTCCTTCTTTCCAATCTGGATGACTCTTATATCTTTGTCATGCCTGACAGCCCTGGCTAGAACCTCAGTACAATGTTGGATAGAAGAGGCAAGAGTAATCATCCTTGCTTTGTTCCTGACCTAAAGGGGAAAGAAAGCTTTTAGTCTGTTATAAGCTCTTAAAGAGATGGTCCCGTGTTACACTTTGAATCTTTCACAAGTTCTAGCTCTGTGTTTTGCACATGATTGGTATTCAACAAAAATTATTCAATATATATTAAACTATATATATGAAACAAACAAGAGAGCTATCCTTAAATTTTCAGCATAATCACTGAGAAATCCTATCCTCTTGTTTATAAGCAAGACTTATTTAAAAGGACATCATTAAGTATGATGTTAACTGTGGGTTTTATAGCTTTTTAAATTTACTTTAAATGACAATACACATTTCTTGTTGCTATATTGTAAAATGCCTTTGTCCCCTTCTCTCTTTCTATTTTCTTTGTGTTTGTCTCCTTTCCTTTATTTTTCTGTTATAACAATTCTTTTCAGCATCAAAAAGAACTACAAGTTATAGTCAGTATATGTCAATATGAAAATTAGAAGAAAATCTACCATTTCCCAGGACTTTTGAGCCCCAAACCATAACACTGCCCTTTGTATTTTAAAGTATTAATAGAAAATTCATTGGGCAGCTCATCATTAACTTAATAACTTACTTTCCTCTAAAACATTCAGATGGGAATTTATTTAAACATATGATGTTACTCTGAAACAAAACATGAAAGTAGCCCTGACCCATGTGGCTTGATTGGTTGGGTATCATCCCACAAAGTGAAAGGTCACAGGTTCAATTCCTGATCAAGGTACATGCCTGGGTTGCAGGTTCAGTCCTAGCTGGGGCATGTACAAGAGATAACTAATCAATGTTTCTCTCTCACATCAGTGTTTCTCTCCCTCCCTTACCACCTCTCTAAAACTAAATAAAGATTTTTTTTAAAAAATGAAAGTACATGTCATCATGCATGAAGTCCTTTTAAATAAATCCTGCTTAAAAACAAGGGGATAGGATTTTTCTGTGATTCTTGTGAAAATTTAAGGATAGCTCTCCTGTTTGTTTCCTATATATACCAAAGAATTTTTGTTTGAATATCTATCATGTGCCAAACACAGAGCTAGAACTTGTGAAAGATTCAAAGTATAACATAGGCCCTTGTCCTCAAGAGCTTATAACATCAAGGAGAGCCCAGATGTCTTTTTCATAATCATATTTTTAAATACTATTAAGTATGCACCAATGCATACAATGTAAATTCTAGGATTCCAGTTACCACTGGAAGAGAAGTAAGTAGTGATCCTGTGGAAAGGGAAACCCTGGACTGAAAGCCAGGAGGGCTTAAGTAACCACTGCTCCTTGGGCCTCATTAGTAAAATAACAGCTTTGAACTATATCAGGTATGTCAGACAAGTTTCATTTCCTATGTAGACTGATTGATAGCTTCTCCCTGGAACAATGTGTTGAAAATGATGCTGAGGCCTCAGGCCATACATGACCTCATCAGGGGGAAAAAAGTGTCATGATTGATTAGTTGTGCCTAACACAGCATTGGAAATTGTTCTCTACCTGATGTGCCTGGATTCAATGATTTGTTAAGATGTCCATCAGCTGTAATCCTCCATAAGTCAATAAATTCAGATATAATGAACCAAAGTTTTCCAAATCCCCATAAGAACAAATACCTCAGTGAGAAGACTCTTGTCCAAAAGTAGAAAGCAAAGGGCAGTCAAGAGAAAGTGCCCTGAAGAAAGGGGAGACAAACTGTGCAGAGAGTTGGGCTCCCAAGATGCCACTCAATTTGAGCCCAGGGCAAGGACCATAAAAATAAGTTACTGTTATAGAGGGTTCAGCCTCTGGTACCATCAAGTAAATTTAGCATAAACTGAAGAGGACAACTCTTTGGAATGAGAAAGAGATGGTATTTTAAATAATCTTATTATTTACTGGCATTTACAGAGCATTGTATAATGTTGCCCAAGTTCAGAGTGAAAGCCATGTTACTATTCTGGAGTAGCTTAGAATCAATTACTATGTGTAAAGCAGGCTATGACAAGGGCGATGAGAATTCAAATTAATGGGCATGGGATGACCAGAGAGCACTTCACAGAAGCATTTAGACATTAATTGACCTATCAGTGCTTGAGTTACTTTTCCTAAACTATCCATAGTTTTATAAAAAAAAAAAAATTTAATGATGAAAAATACCAGACACTGTGCTACGTGCTGTGTGTACCAGCAAAAAAATAATAATAATAAAAAGGCGAAGTCTCTCATCTCAGGGAGCTCACAAAGAAAAATAGAGGAAGTCGAATAATGACTACAATATCACTGGTGATCCCAATAAATTTAGAGGATTAACGGTCTTCACTTTCAATATCAAGAGACAGAGCCTTGGGAAGATGAACTAATTTACCTAAGATCACACAACCAGTAGATACAAGAGTCGGGTTTTAATTCAGATCGTTTTGACAACAGAACATTTCCATTTCTTCACACTGTACCTTTTCTGTTAGACGACAGAAGAGGAAGAGAGTTACTAATTATTCCTTGGGTAGGAGAGAAGGCTTCAAAGAGAAGGTGTCATTTGAACAAGATCTTGAAATGTAAGAACTTGCCATGCATAGGAACAGTGTGAACATGAAGGTGGAAACTGTAGGCATGTTGGAGGAAGGCCGAGCAGATCAGGGTACCAGATGGATGGTGTGCATAGTGTGGTGGGAGTTTTAACAAATGGGCTGATTAAAAATGTCTGGAAGGTCAGGAAGCTTGCTTAGAGAGTCTGGCTATATAAGCTTTGAAGCTTACTGAATTTTTAGAGTAGCCATGAGGAAATCTGAGGCTTTCCATTTGAAAGTGCCTCTTTGCTACAAATGAAATGCCCAGAGTTTTTCTCCCTTCCATGTGCCTTCACAAAGTCTATGTCTACACATGCAAAGACACGTGGAGAATTGTGTTGGTAACCCAGATAATGCCAGCCTTCCCAGACCCCTAAGGTCCAAGTGGTCATCTCTTTGGATGTGTCTCC